AGTGGGTTTTAGTGAGACAACTCCTAAATAAGAAATGTATACACATTTACCTGAAATAAATACGACCCACATTTCCCGGATAAGCATGCAGACTTACCTTTGTTTCCATCACTGTTCGAGTATTTCATCCACATTCCCGTGGCAGGAACTGTCGAAATTGGCAACTGTTTCACGTTTTCACCAAAACTTGGTTCACTTGCCACTCTTTTTGGGCGGGGCAGAGTGCTCGACCTCGAGCTCGACCGGCTGCAATCGCGGTTCGGCACATTGATGACAACGAGGATGCGGTTTCCGTTTGCAGTCCTGCGGCTTTGACTAAGCTGCTCGTTTGTTGTTATCGACTGTTAACGTTGAATTGTTTGCCTTTGTTGTTGTTGTTTTTCCTCACTTTGTCGCATTGTGTTAAAGTTTTTCCATTTAAATGCGACTAACTTCCTGGCACTGGCACTGTCGAATAGACACTAACACAGCCGGAATACACAGAACTATGTTCCACTTAATCCGAACGCGTTCTGCTTCTTGTAGCCCATGGAATGGCCACTTAAGCTGCATACGAAAAGTTAGTCGACTGCATTTCCTGCTGCAAAATGTTGCATTTCCTACGAACTGGACAGCGGCAAAGGAAACGAAACAAGTTTAGTTGCCTTTTGCCTAAACTTGTTTTTGTGATTAAGTTTGCCAATTTGAACCGAACTTTGACAGAGCTAAACCAATAAGCCGGGAGTTAAGCCTTTGACAATCCATTGAATGTCACCCAAACAGCAAACAGGGCGTATGTGTAATATCCCAGCAGAGACATGGCGTATGTGTGATATTGCTGAGATTAAGCACATGGTTAGCCATTGGGTCTAAATACAAAGAAAAATTAAAATGATTTCATATTGAAAACGAATTTCTCAATTATACACATTTTCTAGCTATTTTAGTGGGATTTTATAATGTATAGTTAATTTTGTTGGCCGCTGAAGAAATATGAAGATTTCCTATAGATCTGGGCATGTATACGCAGTCAATACACAATTCGTTTGTGCTTTACTTGTCAACAATATTTTGATTAAGCCCAGATTACAAAAACATACAGTAACGTCCTTCAAGGGTATTTTATATGTACTTTAGCCAGATCAAATATAAGCCTAAATTTTCACACAGAATCGCTCTCACACTTCAAATTATTTTCCACGCTGTTTCATGGCTTAATTGCATTTTCCTAACCAAATTTCGTTGTGGCTTTATCTCTATGCTGTTGCAGTTGCAGCAAGGCTCAAAAAAGAGCTCGTATTTTCATTATTATTTTTGAAAGCTGACAATGAAAAACGGTCAAAATGTGTGCACACACACACACACACACACGCACACACTTGAACACACGGAACACGCAAACATGAAGCCACTTTAGGGGCGTGCCTAGGCTGAAATGCTGCAGTTACAGCAGCAGCCAACATGGTGTACGTAATTTGCATTACAATGAACCCGCTGTAGCCACAACAATCGTTGCACTTCCCCCTATCTCATCTGGCCCCTCATAACGTTTTTGTTGCTCATCACATCAGCTCCTTTCATTGCTGCAAGGTGTATAATTTTGATAGCATCGCACAAAGCCCGCACATTCTAGGGTGTTGACAATGCCGGCGAGGGGGGTTGTTTGTTGGGGGTGCTGGAGTGGGGCTTGCTGGCATGGGCAAAGCTGCATTTAAATTGAAATAACAATAATTGTTTGCTGCAGCCACAGCGGCTATGTCCATTCCTACTTTCCTATTGCAAGCCCTTTTATTGCAAAATACAATTCTTGCTACCGCATAGAATTGGCACAGCGGATGTCGAGTGTCACTAACAGCCACGCCCCAAGCCCCTAAGGTGCACTTTAAATAAGAGGCTCTTAACTAAACAATCTATTCTTCAGTTGACACAACCCTGAACTATTTGCTGAGACAGGCAATTAAATAAATGTTGAAGCAAAATAAATTCATATTAAAGAATGAATGATCTTAAAAACATACCAAAAATAAAATGGATTAAATGCTAACTGCTCTTACTAACTAAAAGAAGACACCGAGCAATAAACTCTAGAACTCTAGAAAGGCGATATGAGCAACACAGACTGTGACAAAGAAAGAGAGAAGCAAATGCTGTACCCCAACTATTTGTAGCTATGACCTCGTATTTAATAGCCACTGAAAAAAAATGATTATAAAAATAAAATTACCATGACATATTTTGCCAGAGCATTTCGTAGGATGCCTTTACTTCTCGAGTCTGAAACTGTTTTTCGCTTAACGTGAGCTTGCATCTGAAACCAAGAATGAGACGTAGACCGTTACGACCGCCAACATACTAGCAGGAAACTTATTCTACCTGTCTAGGGAGCAGGCAAAAAATTACTTGCTTAAAAACTTTTTAATTGCCATATGCTCTAAGAGCGGCGCCGAAAGGATGCAGCGAAGTGCGCGCTTCTATACCATGTGCCCAAAAATGAACAGAGTATATTGGTTGTTGAACTGAGTTATGTATGTAGGAATGTTTATAACCTGCTAGAGTTGGGTTTTGCTTCACAACATAAATTTAACGACAAGAACAGTTTAGTAAGTCAATATCGATAGCCAGATGTATGCCATATATTTGATGATATAAAAGATGAATAAAAAAATAGAGTGCATTCATAGAACAGAGTATCTAACAGTTGGGTGCACTCAACTGTAGCGTTCTCGCTTGTTTTCTTTTTTATATCGTAATTAGCTGCCAGAGCTGAGACTGCAAATTATGCCATAATTATGCGGCAGGCGACGGGCTCACTGAATGAATATTACGAGCACATAAAGTATTTGGCAGAGCACTCAACGCTTTTTGATTGGCTTCCGAATGCAGCCACAAAAACGGTTGACCGAAACATGAAAAGTTCTTGAAAGTCAAACCACAACAATTGGCCAACAAGTTGTCGCCAGCAACTTGCCAAGTGCCCCTCAAAAATTGTTTAAGCTGTGTCAAATTTAAATACTTCCCCACATTCGACGTCCGACTGCAGCGGGAACAGCTGGCAATGGAGCGCATTTGAGTGGGTTTTTTGAGTGCATTGGAACGCTGAAAATATTGAAACACTCAACGACTACAACATCACACAGCAAAAGCTCGGCTGTTGACGCTGACGAGCGACAATTGTAGCTGCCTTGTCTCCTGGTCATGCACTTTGCTCATTGTTATTGTTAGGGATCGGGATCGAAATCAGAATCGGGTTCAACGGGGTGGTGATTGAGAGGCGCGGGAGCGACGCTGTCACGGGCTGTGATTGATGCACAGGTTGTCGATTAGTAGTACAGTTGGCTCAGTTGGTTTCATTTCATGAGCAACCATTAAATTACACGCAAAAAATACCAAACGACACAAAAACACAAAAGTAAACATTGAGAAAATCAAAAAAAAAAACCTCAGCACCAGCTAGTAATTTGTACTGTCCTGAGTTCGCTGGTATTTCCTTGATTTATTATTTGCAATTGTCAGATATAGCACTGTCTTTTTGTGTGTTTGAAGCAAAATACTAAAATATATTTAGAAATATTAAAATAATTTTTAAAATATTGTTTTATTCATTAAAATATTCTTTCTTTTTCTCTTTTTCTGCTACTTCAAGGGGTTTTGTTTTTCGGTAGCTAACAAATGCAAACATGATTTATATTCATTTAACTTTCTGCCACATCACGTGTGGCATGCATCTTAAGCAACCACTGTGCCACACAGTAGCTCAGAGTCCATCTAATTGTCGCTTATGTGCTCTTCTAGACTGCAATTGTCGGCGCACTAACTGTAAATGATGTTCGCTCAATGCCTCAATGCACACGACTCGTTGCAAGTGGCAACTGGGAGCTGGGAACTGGCAACTGGCACCCACACATGATGTCGCTTGCAACGCGTGTTTGGGGTTTGTTTTTGACAGGCGCGTTGGCACTAATGTCTTTTTCTTGCTCGTTTGTTGGCCGCACTCACAATTACAATCATGCAAACAGACACCCACACAGACACACAAGCACACACACTCATACACTCACACTCGCCGTTGGCCTTTGGCACTTTGTCAATCGACAAAACAAAACGAATTGCAACGACATCGCCAGTTGCCCTGCGGAGCAAGTGGCAAGATTTGGGGGGCAACTGCAAGGTGCATGCGGATGTGCACCTACTGCCAGCTCTATCTCATCCAGTTGCATTCAGATATGCATGTTAGTTGCTTCCGCTAAAGCCCTGGCTATTGTTTTGATTGTTTGCAACTGCCACCAATGCTCCAAGCCAAGTCGAGCAACAAAAAAGAACCAGAAGATTTAAGTTGAACAAGGTTAGGTCAGATTGACTCTGGAATTACCTTTTAATATTTAAAAGAACTCTGTTCTCTGTTTATCGTTCGATTAATTAAAAGAATGAAAAGACATTTTTAAATTTGTTAAAATCTCACAATGCAATTTTTCAGGTATCTATGTCTGCAATCTGAAAATCTCATTTTCAATTAAAGACGAACATTAAATTTAATGCATAGAGCAATTGTAATAATTTAACTGAATTATTTTTAATTTAATAAGAGCTCCAGCTAGATTCTTCTACTTAAACTTATTTGCATGCAAAAAGATTCAAAATGTAGATGCCAAACAGAAGTATGCCACAAAGTCCCTCCTTTATGCAACGCCAACACACTCGTAAAGCCCAAGGCTATGAATTGTGTGCGTGTGCGTGTGTGTGTGTGTGTGTCTGCGTAGCACAGCATTCAAAGGATCTGGCAGGGCTGACCCTTTTCGTGTTGGTGTAGGTGTTCGCATGTGCGGCTGACCATTTATGAATATTTACGAGTGTGCAACATGCAGTGGCGCCCCGGGGCGTGCAGTGCAGACTTCTAATGGCATTAAGAGAACGTGGCAAAGTCGAGCAATGGGATGTGTGGGGCGTGGCAGCACAGTGCGGCAAATGTTATAGGTAAATTTGTAGCTTTCAATTTGACTACGTGCTCAAATCAGAGCAACTTATTGAGAGCTTGAATATATTAACAAATACAAACTAAAAAAAACACATGCATTGATCTAAAACAACAAAAATGTCAAAAAATCCGTGCACAGGCGTGCTGAAGCCCTTGCCGATCTATCAGAAGTTAATGGTGGACAACCTGACAGTCATACGCCCGCCCATACTCAAGTTGTACTATTGGGAGAGTTTCAATATAACTGGGTGAGTAGCGCTTGGCTGTGAACAGAAAATCCCTATCCAAATACACCTATACTCCACTCGGACAGACTCAACAAGAAACTCCGATCGAACAAGCAGGAGCATGAGCATGTCCTGGCGGTTCCATTGCGTCAAATACAAAGCCAGCCCCTGAAGATGATCTTCTGGCTGCGCAACATGTCCGCCAAGCCGCTGGAATTGAAATTGAAACGCATTCAGAATTGCCAGTGCCAGCCATTGCAAACTCGCGTGGGCTTCAATCAGTTCCGGCAACTCTTCCACTGCCCGCATCGCCGGCTCATACATATTAGCCAGGAGCAGCTCAATTTACGGCCGGATGAGGTGCTACCTCTCACAGTTACCGCTCATTTTTTTCTTTATGGCGAACACTACCTTACCTATGAAATCTAGTAAGTATTTCAAAAATCTAGATACTGAGAGCTACATCTGATTTCCTTTGACTTTAGCACTGGGGACAATCGCAAATTTGTGTGGAACTTCAAGCTGGAAATCACAGCCTTTGATCCAGAGCGGTGTCTGCTTACCAAGGAGCTATTGCCCATAAATATTAAAAACTTTTATCATGTGACCCAACCGATTTGGGTCCAGAACATAACCATGACACATCTGGCATTTGCCTTCTCCTCGCGCGAACGCAGCTTCAAGCTGCACAACTCAAATCTGACTGTGCCCAGGCAAAGTGTTTGGCCCCTGCTGGTGGAATATCGACCATTGGACTATGAGAATGACGTAAGCACGAAATCTTCTATTTTACATCTTTAATTATGAATGCTCAACAATGAATGGAGTGTTCACTTAGAAGAAATTACGTATTTCCTTTAAAAAAAAATGCAGAGCAGTCGCAGCAAAGTAGTTTAATATCAATTAACCTGTCTATGTGTAGCAAGTCGAAAACTATTTCCAGCTCTAAGTCGCATCTTTATCTTGTCGCAGATTGAGCTGATGCTGACATATGAGAACTCCAAGGCGCGGTATAAGATCAAGGCCCGTGGCACTACTACAGACGATAATGAGATAACAGATATGCCGCTCAAGGACAGAGAATCCTCTGAGTATCTTTACATTATATATCCGAATCGTTTAAACTTTGAACTGTGCATGAAGGAGAATCGCACACAGCTCGTCAATGTGCACAACTATGGACAAAAATGCATGGAGTTTCGCTGGCAAAAGTAAGTCCCAGCAGAATTTCTCCAGCATTCAACTTACTCAAATGCTTCTCTCTCTCTCTCTCTACTCTAGCTACATTATCAGCGATTTCTTTGCAGTCACATTTGAACCATCTGTTTTTCGACTGAAGGGCCATCATTCGAAACTCTGCGAGATAAAGGTAAGCGTCTTCGACCGGCTCATCTTCTTTCGCCGCATACCCATTGTGCTGGAGGTGCATCGCATACTTGATCCCGCCACGCTTATAGCCAAGGCTGAGTTGGCCGAAATCGAGTCCATAGACGATCCCAAGTGGAAGGAAGATAGCTACGTGGAGCACGCTTTTCTACACCTCAACATACGTGTCCATATGCAAAATAACGAGGATAGGCAAGACGATAACATGTACGATATCGATGGCACCTGCGCACCATGTGGCGGCGTGGGCATTGATGCGGGCGCCGGCGGAGATGGTTCGCCCGTTGAGCTAACCGAGGAACAGCAGAAGCAGGCGGAACGCGAGGAGCTGATCAAGCGTTTGTCCATGAAACGCAAGCTGAATGCAAATGAAATCATTGAACTAAGTATGGCCATCGATCACCGTATTACCATATTCGAGAAACTCTTCTGGAAAAACCTATCCAAGTCGAATTTTATGCGCATTAACCCGGAACGAACACGCAACAAATTCAACCAGACCTATGACCAAGTGGTGGTTGTGGATAACGCTCCGAGTCCCCTCGAAAATCTGCGTACAAACGTGGACCACAAGTGAGTAGTTCTTAAAAGCAAGCTAGTTCCAAAATTGAAAACTTCTTTATATTTTTTGCCTACGCCAGCACAATTTTGTCCATAATCAGTCGCCTCATGGTGGAGGCTATTAACGATTTGGCCAAGAACTGGCGATTTATACCACCGGAATATTATGACCATGATCCTTAAGCTCTTTACTTTAAATGTTCAACTATGCAAAATGCATTACATACCCGCAAAGCTCATTGCGTTGCACATTTTGCGGCTGTGGCAGCCATTTGTGCTGTCCACATGCCGCATGCCTCCGAAATTTATGTAAGATTTCGCACAGCACAGCACACGCCCAGCCGAGTCACAGCTTGCCCAGCTCGCAATTTATGTCTTCGCCTAAAAGCATGCTATATTTAAAGCATTGCAACAGTCGCTATCCGCGCGCCACACACACACACACACACATACCACGACAGAAAGGGAAAGGAAGGCTACATAGAGAGAGTACATAGAGACTTAAGTTTACTCGACCAATCTGACAGCAAGATATGAAATACTTTCAGGCTGCTTAAAATTGCATTCATGGTAGATATCTTCTTCCGCAGAGTAAATATACATAACAGGTTTTTAACAGCAGCATATTTAAGGCGTGTCTCCGCATATTTCTGTCAAACTGTTTGCCAAATTCAATTTTGTTTTAAAAATAAAGTATGCTATGCATTAGAAAAGTTAAGTGTTTTTTGATATTTTGCTATTTGTTCTTTAATTTAACCATGCTGATAAATTCAGTTCGACAAGTTCAAGTTCATGTTAGCTGAACTCAAATGAGAAAAGCGGCAAGAAACTTCTACCATCTGCATTGTAAATAATACAATGCGAAAGAACTACGGGTATTCTCTTGAACTTGTTAAATAAGGACTAAGATAACTTGTGATGCACTATTAGGCGGCCTTACAAAAACCGTTGAACTATCAATAATTTAGGTAAATATTTGAAACTTAATTAAAAGTGCAAATTTCGTAGAAGCGCTTCTACTTGGACAATAGAAATGATACAAAACTTAAGGAATAATTGGCATATTTAAAGTTCGGTGAATACCGAAATTAAATTCATGATTCGTAAGTTAATTTTGTTCAAATAAGACTACTTTTATATTCGATTTACAACTTACCAAAATTCCTTTGTTCGATTACAATTAGCTGCTGGAACTGGTTCCATGATTAATGAATTTGCCGAAATTGTTTTTAAACACATCATTTCATAGCTTTATTGAATAAATTGTTGTTTCCTTCATTTTGTGTGTGTGTTCGTGTGTGTTTTTGCTGTTGTAAATTCTCAGATTAATTCATAATGAAGTTTAATTGATTTTTAATAATCTTGCACAGAGTATACCATAAATATGCTATATAAATTTGTTTCGTTTTTTGTTTTCATATTTGTGTGGTTTTTTGTTTTCTTTCTTTTGTTTTCGTTTAAGTTAATTGAATGAAAATTCGAAGAAATTTGGTTAAGGTGTGTGACTGTGTCAGTGTACGGTTGGGCGTGGCATTAAATCCACAGCCCATATGAGAGAATTCGACAGTAATTCAATAGATAAATATGCACTTTGTAATTAAATTGGAATAATTGTTGTTTCTATTATCTGACATGATTAAGTTAAATATTTGCTACTACAATACGATACGGCCCACCAATATTTTGACTATGTTTATAACGACGAGAAAAAAACTGCATAGTTTAAATACACACATATATATAAATATGCTTATATATATATCTGTCATAATTAGTATGTTGACTTCAAGTACTATACGTAAGCTAAACCATAGACGATAATAGAAATTATTTGAATTATTCTTCTTTTTTTTTTATCATATCTTATGCTGAATTAAATACGTTTCACATTAAATTATGCATATGTTGAGCTTGAGCTTGAAAGAACTAATGCAAGTATTCTGTGTTTCACTTATTCTTTTCTTCATTATTTCCGTTTTTCTTCGAATCCGAATTGTTTTAATTCTGTTTTCTTCAATCGTTTCAAGTGAATGCTTATGCTGCTTGCTTTGCATTTAACAAGAGTGCTTAAAATTAGTACCTTTGACTAAGTTGTTTTCGACTAAGTTTGGTTTATACATAATTAATTTAATATATCTTCTTTTTTTTTTTGTTAGTTTTCCTTTTGCTTGAACATTTAATGCAAACATATAGAGAGAGAGCTTCTTTCAATATTTACTTTACTGATGACATGCACTACGAAATTTTCATTGGATAGATATTTTTTCATTGTTAGTTTTTTGTTGTATTTTTTTTTTTTTTTTTTTTGTAATTTGTTGCAAATATTTTTACCAAAGTTTTGTGTAGGTTTGAGGGAGCAGGTAATGCGGAGACTCGGTCATAAAAGAGGGTCACAATCGAAATAAAACACATTTAAAGTACTGAATCAATTGTTGGAATAGGTCTATAATAGCTGGGGTGTCTGATTGGCATGTAAATCTGCTTAGGGCTACATTTTTTCTTTTACCTAGAATTCTTGAGCAAAATTGAAGGAAAAATCTAAAAATTTAAACAAGAAAAATCCTGTTGGTACTCACACTTAGATTACATTTGACTTCGACATTAGGGGACATCATGGTAAGAATTGTTCAACATTAGGTTTACTCAATTATTTCAATCATTCAACATTAGGGGTACTCATGGTAAAACCTTTTCGACTTTTTAAAAGCACATTTAAATCAATGTTTTGCATTAAATCTTAGCAAATCTTAGGGGTATTCAACGTAAGAACGACTCTAGTTGAAATTTACAGAAAATGTAAATACTCGTGTCAGTTCAGTTAGTTAAACTACGCCTAGAAGCTTATTCCATAAATATGTATAGCACATCATTTAAATACTTAGATCAAAATTCTTGAATAAGTTGGTTTCTTTTACCCACAGATCATTTGACTATTCAACTCTCGTTTAAGTAGGTAAGTGGTGAGTTTAGGAGTGAGAGAGCGGTGTATTCTGTTTTGTTTGTATTTATGTGTGTATTTGTATGTATGTATGTATGTGTGTAAGAGAGACATTTAAAGAGAGCACTGCAGGTGTCGGAACCAGTTCCGAATGCGATTCCGGTTCCGTTTACGCCTGCAGGCATTGCACAACCTTTTTGGTTTCAAACGCGAATGTGCCTCGAAACGACGAACAAAACGTGACGACAATTTGATCGCCAGATCTTTGACATTATACGTAGGTATATGTGTATGCACTATCCTTATATTTTGGTGTAAAAGTATAAAAGTGTACCATATTTAAACGTCGAATGTTTCGCGTTTTACATTTGTTTAGCTTTCATTTTAGTTTAAAATTTGTGGTAACTTTTCGTATCTATATATTATAGATTTCATCATCATGCTCTTTTCGTTATTTATTCGTTTTATTTTTTTCAAGATATGCGCTTTGTTTTCTGTTTCTGTTTCTGTTCATCGTCTTCAATCTTTAAATGTTAACATTATTGCGTTTTGCATGTAAAAATTATAAAGTTGCTCGTTATTTAGTTATTTTCACTTTTCTTTCATTCTTTTGCTTTAGTCTTGTTTGCATTAGTTTAACTTTCTGTTATCAGATCCTTTGCGGTTTGTCATTACGTATTATTCATTCATTTTTCTTTGTATATTATTGTGCGGTGTTTTTGTTCGTTACCAATACCGTTAAGTATATATAATATGTATATATAATATAATATATTGTATATATAGTATTCATGTATATGTTTAAATTTTTAAAATACTTTCTTGGTTTTTTTTTTTTGTTTGTTTATTCTTAGTTTTCTTTTTTTTCATATATTATATTTATAAAACATTTTCATCTTAAAAAATGTATATAATCGATTGCTTTTTGTTGTTCTTCTATTTGTTGCTGTTTTTTTTTTGTTTTTTGTTTTGTTTTGTTATCATTACTTAATTGCATTACGCATTCTGCATTCCCCTTTTCCAATTCAGATCGCACATGCACAAAAATGTGTGTGCCTGATTATAAAAATCGGGTTTCTTGGTGTTTTCTTCTTATAGTTTTTCTTGAACCTGCTTCAAATTTTACTCATCTTTTGTTTTTGTTTTTTTTTTTCTTTTGGAAGGTTTTGTTCTTATACATCGCATTAAAGCAACGAGTTTTTTTTTTGGTTTTTTTTTTTAATTTCAGTCAAGCATTTGCGCATGAATATGGGTATTCGAGCGTCTCAAGTGATTCGAATGACTGACTGATTCGAATGAATGATTCGTTTCACTTGGTGTCTCTGAATGAGTTCTGTGCTTGTGAAAATAAGCCATTTAGCTCTACAAATATTAGGAGGCTGGGGCCTATGTACTACACACACATACATACTTAATAATCGTAATCGTAAATATACATACATATCATTATCATTTTTGGTTTTGTTTCGTTAATTACTTTTTAAATAGTTGCAATAAATTTACTTGACGTATACATGAAAGTGTTTTGTGATTTATGCCATGAGTTAATATATATTTATAATCATTTTTCTGGTATGTATGTATATGTATAAACATTTAAAATTTGCAATACACAACATCAATATATTGTTAATCATATATAATATACTTTTTTGTTGTTGATTTTGTTTTTTTATGTTTTTTATAAATAGTTATAGATTTTATATAGAGTTAATATATAGCATAGTTTAATGTGTTCCAACATTGCGAATCATTTAGGGATGAAGTACACGCAGGAATTAGGGGTTAGAAAACTAATGGATAAAATAATATGACTGTGATTAAAACCTCAAGGTATAAGCAAAAAAAAAAAAATAAAAGAATATTTCAATAGAATATATAACAAGATCTATTCGTATTTCTCTTTTCGTTTTTGGTTTTAAGGACTAGTACATTTAACTAGTTTTGCAAGGAAATCTCTCAAGCACCATGTTTTCATGTTATAGAACTTCGATCATACATTTTCTCATATTTGCGGTTATCTCTCGCCTGGCTTTTTAAATGCATATATCGTTTGTCGAAAGGTTCCGATAAC